GAGTAAATTGTACCAATATAGAATTGTGACTTCACAAGTGTAGTAATTTAGGAGGTGAAAATACTGTGAAATTACAAAATGGAATGAAATTTGAAAGCTAACATCTGAAGGTCTATGGTTGTGTTTGCGGAACGATGTATGTTATAATACATCGTGTACACTCACTAAACAAAGAGTGACAGCTTTTTAGAGCACTCTTTGCAAGCTTTCTAGTCAATAATCCATTTAAAATGTAGCCTAGAACTTTGTTTTTCGGCCACACACACGTTGCAAAGTTTCGGGAATGACGTCAGTATATTTATGCGGGATTCACTCTCGAAGTAGCAGTGATTGACATAGTGATAACCATAGCAACAGACGGGACAAAATATGTGAAAATGTGCATTAAGACTAGAGCACCCTCACTCATTTCAGAAGCACCCTCAGTGATTATTTCTGGAACCTGGTTGATACGCTTTTATTGCAAAACTATATACAAAAACAGCAAAATACAAATGCAGTAAATAAAATAATTGAATAAATGCATATTTACAATTTAAGCACTTAACTAAAATAAGTAGGCTATTAATAAAATAAATTAATATTAATTACTACACCACGTAGACACGCCCTTGGTCACATCATACTTCATCTACTCGTCAAATCTTCTGACCAATCGGGGGAGCTCCAAGATGGCGCCGTGGAAAGTCATGGTTCTCTAAGCTGAGAAACAAACCGGGTATTTCTCACAAATGGACATATATTCCATAAAGTTGCTAGCTACTATTGATAGATTGCTAATAGTTGCCGAATTAAAAAAAATATTGATGTTAGAGTAGTGCAACAAGACTGTACTGAATTACGAAATCATCATCAGTTTCACTGCACAATTCAGAAAAATGGCCGAGGATCTTGGCGCAGAGATGGAGGTCGATATTATAAAAGAGAAGAGAAGTTTTAACGAAACTCACTCGTATGCATGTAAAGTAAAAAGCGGAGGAAGTTGTGGGTCTTGTCCGAACACACCAAGCAAAAATCAACCTCCCAAAAGACATAAAAATATCGTTGACTCATCAGCCAAACAAAGTGAACTTTCTTTGAATGATGTGCAGGAGAATATCATTCGAATTCTCTCTGAGAAAATCAATGAGCGATCCGACCAGCTTAAAAGAATGGTTAAAGAGAAATCTTCCAACATTGAAGCTTTGGGCAAATCTCTTACCTCAGTCCATGATGATGTAATGGTTCTGCAGAAAGAAAACGAAATGCTAAAAAAATGCGAATGCTCTCCTGGTAAAAAAGGTCAAGGAAATGAACACGAAAATTCATGACCAGGAACGTTACAGCCGCAGATGGTACCTGCTTTTGTATGGGCTGTCCGAACAAACTAATGACAATGTGAAAATGAGAGTTATGGAAGTATGCAAAGCGGTGGTTTCGGACGTGGACAAATGGGTGGTAGCAGACGGTCTGGATGTGGCACACCGTCTGGGCAGGCTTAAAACTTCGGATGATGGCAGAAGAGTGAAACCAAGACCGGTGATCATGAGATTAGTTTCCCGTACAGCCAGAGATTTAATCTGGAAAAACTCAAAAAACAACAAGTATCTGTCTACCAAGGGGCTGCGGTTTAAGTTGGACTTGACCGCTTTCGACACAGAAGCGCATAATCGTCTTTGGCCGACTGTGGAGAGAGCAAGGAAAGAAGGCAGAAATGCATACTTCAGCGGAGCGAAGGCTTTCGTCGATGGTAAAGAGATTCGTCCTGAAGAAGGCAACGGAACTACATAGACTTATGATCGTCTTGTTGCAGTCTGCAACTGGCAGTAACTTAAGATAGGTTGATCTTGGTTTGAGAAAGGAAAAAAATGAAAGAAAAGAAGAAATGTATTATTTTGTTTTCTAAATCAGGTGATTATAGTGGCAGTCACGTCGGTTTAAACTTGTTATTGAATCGATTATTAACAACCAGTCAGACTCGACTACACAAAATGCTTCTGCTATGAGAGAAAGCTGCAGCCGCGCGTGAGCTGTTTCCACCGTCTGTAACTCCCCAACCGAACCTCGCCGGACAACTGGACCTTTCTGGATGCACCCAGCGGAAAAGCCCTGTTATACGGTGGCCTAATAGTGCACAACACAACGCAATTAAAAAAGCAAACATAAGCTCACAACACAACGACATTAAAAAAAGCAAACATAAGCTCACAACACAACGACATTAAAAAAAGCAAACATAAGCTCACAACACAACGACATTAAAAAAAGCAAACATAAGCTCACAACACAACGACATTAAAAAAAGCAAATATACTGAACAAAATTATAAACGCAACACTTTTGTTTTTGCCCCCATTTTTCATGAGCTGAACTCAAAGATCTAAGACTTTTTCTATGTACACAAAAGGCCTATTTCTCTCAAATATTGTTCACAAATCTGTCTAAATCTGTGTTAGTGAGCACTTCTCCTTTGCCGAGATAATCCATCCACCTCAAAGGTGTGGCATATCAAGATGCTGATTAGACAGCATGATTATTGCACAGGTGTGCCTTGTACATAGAAAAAGTCTTAGATCTTTGAGTTCTGAAAGACAAATTATTCAATTTTCCGGTCAAACTCCACATATTAGAAGGCTGAATCAAAAAAGTAAAATAGAAATTCCTATTAATGATTTATTTATAGACTCCATGCAGAGGAGACATCATCGGAAAGCAAAAAAGGAAGCAGAAATGGAGAAGAAGAGAAGCAGAAGTGACCAGACAGGAGACAGTGGACATGCTCTTGATGGCTAAGGAACTTCTTCGGATAATTCGGTAGCACGAACGTATAAATAAACGATTGATGAAAAGGGTTAAACAATTTATTGAAGTTAATGAGTTTAATTTGAAAATGGAATCTTTGCGGGGTGAGGTTGACTGTTTGAAAATTCAAAGAGCCAATGCCGCCTCCAAAGTATAAACAGTTAACTGACATCCTGTCAAAAAGCGAGAGCAGGTGTCACTATCTGGGTTAACAGTTAACGAATGGAAAATTTTGAAGTGTGAAAACTCGCTTGTATATTTTTGCAAAGGCGTTGCTGCATTGTAGTAATGTGGATGCTTAATTGTGGTTAGCACAAAAGGTCAGACATCCTGTGTTAGTGTATAGGAGGTAAACTTTGTTTGAACTTTTTGAATTTTTGGAGAGGTACTCGTGTGTATATGCTGTGTTTGATGTGATGATGTAATGTTATCGCAACCCGCTGAAGCAAGGGGGGTGATCAAGTGTTTTGTGAGGCTTGCATTTATCCAATAGAAAAGATTTATTAGATGCTTTGCAGGAGAGGAATGTTGTATACGCCCTCTCCTATATAATCCAGTGCTTTATGATTTTGCTGTGCCGAAAATCGGGTGAAGACTACACGCTGTTACTTTCTTGTTATTTGCTTATGAGTTATTGTTTTTAATAAAGCGAAACCATTTGTATATGGTGATTCGACAAACTTTCTTTAAAACAAGTCTCTGAGTAATTTATTAAGAGTAACTCATTATCTGAATTTAGTTCATAAATCTCCAATGCGAGCCTCATAGTGGTAAGAACTCTACTGAGCTGACCAGGACATTTTGTTGTGGATCCTGGACTTCATATTACACTTCCCATCCATATAAGAGGTAAGGGCTGTATTTGTTTATGACAGTTACCGATGGGGGAAAGATGTGTTTATAAGGTTTATTGGTTCATTAAAAGCAGAATTATATAACAGTTCAGCTCGTGAAAAATGGGGGCAAAAACAAAAGTGTTGCGTTTATAATTTTGTTCAGTGTATAAGCTCACAACACAATGACATTAAAAAAAGCAAACATAAGCTCACAACACAACAACATTAAGCCACAACACAGCGACATTAAGCCACAACACAACGGAAATGCTCCCGACCACTAAAAGCCTTCACCGTTATCCCCATTGGCCACTCATTCCTTTTGACTTGTTTGTCTTTGAGTAGAACAATGTCTCCTTCTTCGATGTTTGGATACTTGTGAAACCATTTGCGACGGCTCTGAAGAGTTCCAAGATACTCTTTCCTCCACCTATTCCAGAATGTTTCTGCTAGGGCTTGTACCCGTTTCCACTGGCATTGGAACATGTCCTTCTTACTGAAATCTTCTGGTAAAGTCGGGAGATTACCAGCTTTTTGTGTCAGAAGCATGGAAGGTGTTAGAATGAAGGGACATTCAGGATCTGTGGAGACTGGGACTAGAGGCCGTGCATTAATGATGGCTGTCACTTCAGACATGAATGTCACTAATACCTCATGGGTAAGCTGTGTGTACCTGTCTTTCAGGAGCATTGAATCCAGGATTCGTCTGGTTATTCCAATCATACGTTCCCAGGCACCACCCATATGAGACGAGTGTGGTGGATTGAACACCCAGGAACATCTTTGCTCAAGGAGATATTCTCTCACTGCTGTTTGTTCGTTCTCACTCATTTTAAGCTCTCTAGAGGCACCAACGAAATTCGTCCCACAGTCGGAGCGCAGTTGCTTGGCCGGACCTCTGATAGAAAAGAATCTCCTGAGAGCATTGATGAGACTTGAAGAAGTCATTGACTCGATCACCTCAATGTGAACTCCTCTGGTACACATGCACGTGAACAACACTGCCCACCTCTTACTATTGGCTTGGCCACCCCTTGTGCGGCGTGTGATCACCTCCCATGGCCCAAACACGTCTAAGCCAACATAGGAAAAGGGTGGATCCATCTGCAGTCTTTCCGCTGGTAAGTCGGCCATCTGTTGTTCCTCTATTTTGCCTCTTAATTTACGGCAGGTGACACATTTATGGATGATACTGTTAATGCATCTCTTGGCTCCAATTATCCAAAAGCCATTGTACCTTATGCTGCCCTCAGTCAGATGTCTGCCCTGATGCTGCACACGTTCATGGAAATGTCGTACCAGTAGGGCTGTGATGTGATGGTGAGCTGGGAGGATGAGGGGATTTATTTCTTTATCTCCTAGCTCTGCTTGCCTGATGCGGCCGCCAACTCTTAGCAGCCCATTGCTATCAATGACTGGATTCAGCTTTAAAAGTGAACTATGTGAGGGAATTTCACCTGTGGAAGTGATGCATTTCAGCTCCTCCTGATACACTTCGTGTTGTACACTCTTGATAATTATGTCCTCTGCCTTCAGAAGATCGCTTACAGATAGGCCCTTTGAGCACAAGTGCCAACCAGTGCACCAACTATCATCCCTTGGTTTACTGAAACAACAGACAATGTGATGCAGTCGAGCCACGGCTCTGACGACTGTGGTCCACTTTGAGAATCGTTCAAATCTTCTAGTACTTAACTGATCCACTTTGATGTGGGTAGAGAAGACATGAACCTCTGAGCGAATTTCAACATCTTCCTCTGGGTCAACAAGGTCGTATGAGTGCGGGCACTCGAAAAGCTGCTCTGCTGACTGGTGCAAGAATGAAGGTCCTGTGAGCCAGTTTGTGGTCTCAAGCTTGGCAGATGGAACAGAACGAGAGCCGTGATCGGCAGGATTTTGCTCAGAGGACACGTACTTCCATTGTTCAGGCTGAGTAGATTGTCTGATGCGATGCACTCTGTTGCTCACATATACATGAAATCTTCTGGACTCGTTATAGCTGTCGGGAGAGAGAGAAGCCGCAGCGTGTGAACGCGCCGCCATCTTGAGGTAATAGGTTATAGATGTAGCCTAACACTACTTTACTATCTGTATAGAACCTTATTCTGTCAGGTTTTAGATTAATCTCATCCATGATGAGTTCAGACATTTCGACAGCTAGGACTGCAGCACATAATTCTAGCCTAGGTACTGAGAGATTAGACTTTGGGGCCAACCTAGCTTTGCCAAGGATAAAGCCAACCTCTGTATTGCCTTTCTGATCAGAGGTTCTCAAGTATGCTACAGCTGAGATAGCTTTCATGGAGGCATCTGAGAAGACACATATTTCAGTGTGTTTGGCTGCAGAAAGAGGAATGGTTACATACATTCGTGGAATGCTCATATTTCTCAAGTCTTGCAGTGAATCACACCACCGCGTCCACTCGTCATGTCTGTTCTCGGGTAGTGGTGTGTCCCACCCTTGTGTTTCCAATGAGAGTTCTCTTAAAAGTAGACGTCCCTGAATTGTGATTGGTGCCAGGAATCCAAGAGGATCGAATAAGCTATTCACCGTTGAAAGCACTCCTCTTCACGTGTATGGCTTTTCAGTGTTAGGCACCTGGAAGGTGAACGTGTCTGACATTAGATTCCACTGTACCCCTAAACTTCTCTGCTCAGGTAAGTCGTCCGTGGAGAGCTCAAGATATTTGATATCCTTTGCCAAGTCTTCATTCGGAAAGGCATCCATTACTTTGGCTCTGTTTGCCGCAATTTTATGGAGTCCGAGGTTTGGAAATGCAAGTGCCTCCTGTGTCCTTTTGAGTACATCAATTGCCTCCTCCTCTGTAGGAAACGACTTTAAGGCGTCATCTACATAAAAATTTCGTTCAATGAATTTCCTTACATCACTGCCGTATTCCTTTTCTTCTTCTCTGGCAGCTCTACGTGTTCCGTAAATGGCCACTGCTGGCGAAGGTTTGTTGCCAAATACGTGAACTCGCATCCTGTAGTCCACGACCTCCTTAGTCAGATCGTTATCACGATGCCATAGAAAGCGCAAAACATCACGGCAGTCCTCCCGAACCAAGAAGCAGTGAAACATCTGCTGTATGTCGGCTGTGATGGCAACAGGATCTTTTCGAAATCTTAAGAGGACCCCTAACAGGCTTAACAGGCTGTCTGGCCCTGACAGCAGTACGTCGTTCAGAGATATCCCATCAAACTTTGCACTGGAGTCACTGGAGTCAAC